TGGTCTCGTGCTTCTTTTGCTCTGCCCGCCGGGGTGCGCCGCTCGCACACCATATTGGCCGAGTGTACTGGCTGTGCGTGTGTGGTTCGGGGTGGGTATTGTAAGAATCTTTGGGGGGTGTGGTGTTTTTGGTGTGGGGGGGGGGGGGGGGGTGGGGGAGGGGAGGGGATGATTCGAGTTGATATTCGCAGGGGGAACTATTCAAAAGAAAGACTCGTCCCCAGATTTTAGATCTCCAAAGGTTGATATCTCTGAGAAAGATGATGGCAGGCTAGCCTAAACACTACTATTTACAAAATAACTAAGATAGTACGCGCGCTCTGATTGGCCGAGAGGAGTGTTTGCATGAGTGTATGAACATGGTTGTGGCGTGAAGTTGTTTGGCTTTTCGCGCGCTAATCACGCAAGCACGAATTTGAAAAAGGTTTCGATTTCAAAACTCGACAGTTTACTTTATTTACCCATTCCTTCGTCGGCTGAAACATTGAAAACCGTTACAAAGAAGGCGAGTCAATTTTTCTTCGCTTAAGCGAGAAAAATCCGTATTTTGCAAAACATCTTTTTGCAAAACAAGAACCTATTACGCGTGCAAGACTTCGTGGACAAGATTTTGCGCCTGGTAAGAATTTCTCTTTTAATCAGTGCCATACAAAGAGTTTTGCGTTTTTTTCTCGGGAAAGTTATTTTATAAAAGCAATAGAAAATTTTTTTCCTGTGTTTGCATAGCCTGATATAAACACTCGAGGCGTTGGGAGAATTCTTGACGGTTATGCAAACCCTCGACTTCGTCTCGGGTTAACTGTCTCTAATTCTCCCAACCCCTCTCGTGTTTATATCAGGCTATGCAAACACGGAAACTACGTTTTCTATTGCTTAATTAAACAGTACCTTGCTTCTTTTAAAACAGCGTCTTTAGTTCTGTTCTTCTTATTTGGATCTAAGGTGATTTCTTTAATAGCAACATGTCTGTAATAACAAAAGAGTAACACATGTGAATGTGCAGCTATGGCAAAAGAGGATGTGTGCTGTATTGATGTGAAAGGCACAATAACTATGACCAAGATGGTGGGAATTCTATAGTGTTTTAAAAGGGTGCATATTATTTTGTCTCTACTGGTCTGTCTAAATGAACTTTTTCCCAGGACATAAACGTAGCAAGTCATGGGGTAGTCAGCTTATTTTAAGGTCTCATTGGAATGCTTTCTCATCCAGCACATTTTTTGCCCCACTTTCCCCTCAAGAGGGTTGCATCCTTTTACTTCTGCTAGCCTTCACATTAGACCTCCTCAAAAAGACACCCCTGCTGTAAGTCAGGCTTTTAGTCCGCTGTTCCAGTCTGTTCTGCCACAGCTGTAGGTTTACCCAACCATACCTTGAACTTTTCTTCTCTGTAGCGAGGAGAACCGTACCACCAGCTCCCTTGCCAATAGTTTTGATGACGTCGTAGCTTTCCATTCTCTATTTTAACTTACAACTTTAGCGTCTTATCACCACGGTTGTTAACCTTCATTGTTTACAACACCTCCTCTAACGATGTTTGATGCCATCAGACGGGCAGAATATGTCTACTTCCACAAACAGTGAAGACGCTTTTCAGTCTTCAGGTAACCAGATTTGCTCAAAATTGTTCAGAAGGTTCACAAAATGATCGTCGATTTCGTTTCCATGTAATCAAGTTTCAGACACGGAATAAGCGATCACGGAAGGGAAAGCACTTGAACATCGACCTAAACTAGATGAGTCAGCGGCGTCTTACAAAATGACTGAAATAATACCTCGACTTCCGCTCACTTGATCGATCAGAGCGAAGGCGCAAAATTTGACTTAGTTTGAGTTATAAAACGGTTAACATTGTCGTTTCCAGTTTATATAACTTAAAAAAAAATGTTAAATCTGTAATAGACTCAGCTGTATTGCATTGAACGATGCGGCTTATGGTCTTTCCGAGGAACGTTGGTTTCGGTAGATGTTATTTAGTGTCAACATGTCACGAAATCCTATCTATAAACAGGGGCACCCAACGAGAATATAGTTCAAAACCACTTAAACATAGCATAGTTGAACGTATTTTAGTATTTAAACGGTACATGTAGGCATATTTTTATCCCCTAAAAATTTTTCATCTGTTCGGATTTCCTAGCTGAAAGTCTAGTGATCCGGAAATTATAGGGATCAAAACTTACCATTTCGAAAATTTCAGCCAGAAAAAAAGGCTCCCGAAAATTCTAGGTGACCTTTTTAGGGTAAAAATCCGTTAAAAATCGGCAATTATACCATTTTCGAGATGTTTGAAAATCCTAGGAGAGGCAGGCAAGCAAGAAATTTAACAACAAATGTTCCGAAAATCTAGATCTCAAATCGTCTTCCGAACAGATATTTTCCAAAGCTTGTCGTTGGGTGCCCCTGTATAAACATCGACCGAAACCTAGGAACTCGCCTGCTGCCGTACGAAAAAACCAAAATAAAATAAATCCCGCGAGAGTGCGAATCCCATCCCAGTTTTATTGCTGTCGTTTAAGTCTCAAAGAGTAGTTTTCCAGCTTCTCGACTTTCACCTAGGAAAGTTTAAGATGTTCATAATAAAAGAAGTTCTCCTTTCACAATCAGACGCCAACCGTTTCAACCTGACAATGGCTAATTGTTGGAGATTCACCAAGAGGACAATTGGGTAGGCACGGATCCACACCGGTTTCCACCCTTTTACCGAAATCGGTCGGATTTTTCATAATAAATATATTTTTGGTAATAAAAATGCTTTCCAAGTCGAAATCTGGAAAATGTTGGACTCGCCTTGCCTAATATACACTACAATATGGAAACTGGCCTTGATGGAATAATCCGCCGATTTGCAAGGCTTCATCTGAGGAGAATGGAAATGGCCAATATTCAGAACCCCAGGAAAGGGGACTTTAGGGCCGGAATTAAAATCCACCAAAATTCCCGGGAGAGCAAGAATTTCCGCAGTGATATTTTCCCCGACAATTTTAGATGCGTTTAACGGCTTTACGAAGGTTTAGTTTTTTCATTACTCAGGGTGATAACTCTTCTCCACACAGTTTCCATTCAGAAAAA